CCAAAAGGTGGGAAGGGTAATTCCCAGTCTTTAAACAGGGCAGCCGCTCTTCCGCATCTAATTATCGCCCTAATTCATTGACTTCAATTTCTTGCAAACTACTTGAGCATATCCTCTACTCCAATATCATGAGGCACCTATCATCCCATTTCTTTTCTTTAAACAGCAGCACGGTTTTCAAAAAGGTACACTCTCCGGCAATATGAAAGACCCACACTGGGAGCGCGTGGCCGAGGCGGTGGCTGGCGGGGGCGCTGCGAGCCCTCCGGGCAATTCCATTCTGCTTCGAGGGGAGGACGCTCACTCGGGCTCAGATAAAGCGAAACGCGCTTATCAGTTTGTGCCGAGTTGTGTTTCAACTCGGCAGTTGTGCCGAGTTGAAATGTAAATATCGCCAAATGCCTCGACAAAACAAAATGTTCGAGAAAAAAAATAAAAAGAAGTAAGCCGGCCCACACCATAAATAGAACCCGGGTCTGACACGTATGAGGCAGACATCTCACCACTAAGTTACGCTACCTCTTCGGAAACTCGCATTGCATCCGCTGCCTATGTTGACGGCGGCAGCGCCTATCTCCAAGCAAGCAAGCAAAACTTTATTTTGTGTGAGGGCCTACGTCCTGGTCTGGACGGCCCGTCCGGCCCATGTCTCGCGGATGGATTCCGTTAGGTTACCGTGTAGCCTTGTTCGTGGGGCAAGGCTCCACAAACCAGCCAATCCGGCGTGCGTGAGCACCGTTGCTAGGGTTTGTATCGCCTGCGCGTTAAAAATATGCCCGCGCGGGTCGGGGGGCAGTGCCCTTGGTATTCCTTGGGCGCCGCCGGCCTGTGTCTGCTCTGCCCAGTGGCGGCCGTTTCAGGGGGGGCAAAACGCATGCCTTGCCCCCCCACTCTGAGAACTGGGGGGGCAAGTGCCCCCCTTGCCCCCCCGGTTGGTACGCCCATGCTCAAACCTTAGGCTTGTAAATTGTATAAAGCTCTGTGTCGTTGTGGGGGACACCTCTGGTCCCACCTCCTGGCGCGGTTTCTCCGGTGTTGACTCTTGAGTGTTGTAGAACGAGAGCACATAGTCTTTCAACCTCTCCGGTAGTCTTCGTTGGCGTTTTGGTCGATTCGTCGCAACGGCCACGGTTGGTTCAGGTTCGCAAGCACTTACGGAGTCCTCCAAAGGAGGCATTGAACGTGATGAGCCGGTCAAGGACGGGACCGGAGTACTTGTGGATCTTGGTCTGAATGGCTCTTCACATGAGTCAGCGAGGCCGGTCGCAGAAGAAAAGGGAACCTCCACAGGCTCAGTGTCTTTTGAAGGCGTGCCGGGACCGGCATCTCGAGCAGGAGCAGCACGTGCAGGCTCGCAGTCAGGAACAGTGCCAACCCGAGGCTCTAGGGTGAGTGCAGCATCAGGAAGAACAATGGAGCCGGGACGCAGTACAGCGGCAGGGACAGGAATAGCCAATGGCTCAGGGACCAAAGGCGTATGTGGCTCGACGTCAGGAACACGTGCAGCAGGCTCAGCTGCACCAGTGGACATCAGGGCCTTATCAGGCTCAGGCGCAGCAAGAGGATCCGGAGCCCCACCAGGCTCAGACGTGGCAAGAGGACCCGGAGCCCCACCAGGCTCAGACGTAGCAAGAGGACCCGAAGCCCCACCTGGCTCAGGCGCAGCAAGAGGACCCGGAGCCCCACCAGGCTCAGACGTAGCAAGAGGACCCGGAGCCCCACCAGGCTCAGACGTAGCAAGAGGACCCGGAGCCCCACCAGGCTCAGACGTAGGCCCTTGTCCAAGAACAGGGGACGTCGCCAGCCCGGCAACCGGCTGCAGGAGAGGCCCCACAGCAGGGAACGGAAGAGATCCAGCCACCTCGGGGGCAGGGCCAGGACCCGAAGTGTTTGGTACTGAAAGACCGGACTGTTGAGAAAAAGGGTGCACATCAATATCGTCATCCTCCCAATCTGAATCGAAATATTCTCGCCCTGTCTTCAGTGGCGTCTTCGTTAATTTTGCGGCGTTCCAGCGGCGTCCATCTGCAAATTCGTATGTTGCAGGTCCTACTTGTCTCTGAATGATCTGTGGAGTTGAATACTTCGGTTGTAACTTGCCTCGATGGGATGGTTGAAAAATCCGGACGGCTTGTCCAGAGACGAACTGGGGTCGTCGAACAGCTCGACGACTGTCCGAATACGATTTCATCTTTTCTTGGTACTGCTGCACACGCTGTGGCAGTCATGCACGTGTCTCAGGAAAATCCACTGGGAGTGACCTGGTTTCCATCCTTTGTAGGTCCAGTTTCGACCGATGAATTCTTCCGTGAAGAAGCCACGATGGTGCAACTCCAGTTGCTGCATGCGGCGTCCGACGATACGTCTCCAGATAATCACGGACCGCATTTGGTAAAGGACGGCCTTGAACGACGGCCAACTGTAGACAGCACTTGAGAACTCTATTAAACCTTTCCACCTGCCCATTGCATTGGGGGTGGTACAGGGATGCCTTGAGATGTTTTATCCCATGCTGATGAAGAAATTCCTGGAATTATTTCGACGCAAACTGGATACCATTGTCCGAGACGATTTCGCAGGGTAATCCCTCACGTGCGAAGATGTTTTTCAAAAAATTTATCACTGTAGATGAGGTCACGGAAGCTGCTGCTTGAACTTCCGGCCACTTGGAGTGGTAGTCCATGAGGACAATGAAGAACCGCTGACTTAATGGCGCCCATTCTATTGGGCCCACGATATCTATCCCGAGCTTCTCCCACGGTTTATCAGGAAACTTGATCGGTTGAAGAGGTGCTGGTGCTGCTTTTACCGGCTTGTCGGTGGAATGACAGACTATGCAGTTTTCTATCTTGAACTTTATCTGCTGGTTCATTCGCGGCCACCAGTACTGCTCTCTGATGATGCTCGTTGTTCTAGAAATCCCTTGGTGAGTTTCATGAGCCAGTTGAATGATGTGGTCTCGCAGGTTTTCAGGGACCACAATCTTCTCCCCTTGAAAAAGTATTCCGTCATGGAGGGACAGCTGATCTCGTACGTGGAAGTACGGTCGAAGTTCTGGGTGTACATTGTTGTCCTCTGGCGAGGACTCAGTGGTGTAGCGAATGACGCTAGGCAGAACGGTGTCATTGGCGGTAGCCTCTTGAAATTCCTGACGTGACAAGGGCGTTGCTATGAGGGCAACAACATCCTCTTCAAACAAAGTACCACCCTCGGTGTCTTGGCGAGGTAGTCGTGAAAACGCATCCGCGACTAAGTTTGTAGATCCTTTTTGATATTCCATGCGGAAATTATAATTCATCAGTCTCGCCGTCCAACGTGTGATGCGCAACGGACGAACACCAGATCCTTTGTTAGATAAAAGCGTCACAAGCGCTTGATGGTCGGCTCGAATAACAAATGGACGTCCCCATAAGTAGACGTGCCACTTCTCACAGGCCCAAAGGCAAGCGAGAGCTTCCTTCTCCCCAGTTGAGTACCTCCGCTCAGCGTCCGTGAGTGATCGGGAGGCAAAAGCGACAGGAACAAGATAGTTCCTATGCTGCTGTTGAAGGGCGGCGCCCAGGCCGTAATGAGAAGCGTCTGTAGCCACGATGATGGGTAGAGATGGATCAAACATGGCTAGAATGGGTGCATGTTGAATACAATTCTTGATGTTTTGGAAACTCGCGTCCGCTTCGGGGGACCAGACGAAACGAACGCCCTTTCGGGGTAAACGACGAAGAGGTTCGACCACAGTGGAATAATGCGGGACAAATTTGCTATAGTATTCGACAAGTCTCAAGAATGCTTTCAGCCTTGCAGAGTCAGACGGAGTCTCAAAATTCAGAACAGCATCTACATTCGATGCAAGGGGTGCTAACCCTTCCATGGAGAGACGGTGCCCCAAATATGAGAGTTCACGGACATTAAAAACACCCTTCCGATTTAACTTCATTCCTGCGCGGGAGATGCAAGACAAGACTTTGCGGAGGTTTACATCATGTTCCTCCTGCGAAGATCCGTAGACGATGACATCATCGAGATAAAACTGGACGCCTTGACATCCTTCCAAAATTGTCGACATGATCTTTTTGAACGCCGCAGGTGCAGATGCCAGTCCGAAGCATACGCGCTTAAAACGGAAAAGACCTTCATGCGTGATGAAAGCTGTTAGATCTCGACTCGCGGGGTCGAGACGAACTTGATGGTACGCAGATGCAAGGTCTAGCTTGGAGAAGACGGCTGCTCCTCGGAGGGAATTCAAAAGTTCGTCGATGTGCGGGAGTGGGAAAGCGTCGATGACGATGGCTTGATTTGGCGCTCGCATATCCACACACATATCCGGATATTTCCGTCTTGTTTCTTGACAACGACGATGGGAGAAACCCATTCCGAAGCGTTGACGCGTTCAATGACTCCTTGCCGTTCCAGTTTGAAGATCTCTTCGGAGACGGCGTCACGAAGAGTTGGAGGAAGACGTCTTAGCCTTGACTGCACTGGTGGAACATTATGTCGCACCTTGACCTTGTGCGTCTCATTCCGCACCAGGCCCAACTCGGGATCGAACAGGTGTTCAAAGTCTTCAAATCCCGGGGGTAACTGGGATGTGTCCCGTCGAGGTAGACTTGACTGCAGACACTTCGAAGGAAGGTTGCTTTGCTCAGGAATAGGCTATTGGTATAACTTTCTACTTCGAGGATCAGGAAGATCAGTATGACGTTGTGGAACACTGCAACCACGTTGATCTTCAGGTTGACGCTCTGGACCACTGGCTCCACACTGACTTGCAGGATGACTATCTGGACTGGAGTTGGCCGACGGTCTGTGGTCAAACTCTTCGAAGACTTTAGGAGCTGTTTGTTCCCCATAAGAAGGTTGTAGTGGCCTGGATATGTAGGCACTCGACGGTACTGAAGATGGATGGTTGTTGCTAGATGTGACTGGAGGTTGATGACTTGGTGGCTGTGATGACTGGCGAGACGACAACGTGAAGGGTCGTCGCTGCGGAGCGCCAGCCGGCCCTACATTCCGAGGTGGCTCTGCTCCACTTCCAGCTGCATTCACAAAGGAACAATCGTACTCAGCTCCAGATAAGGTCATGCTCAACTCGCGCACTGCGTCGGTTCCAAGCAATGATCGTCCCGTACGCGTCACATAAAATTCCAGCGGCGCGTATCGGTTCTTGAAAACCACTTGTCCAAAGAAACATCCCAGTACGGGGATGGGCTGTTGCAGATAATGCACTAAGGTTCTTGGTGGACGATGAAGCTTAATCTTACGTTTCCTGCTTACATGATTAAATGTTTGTTCGTTCAAAATCGAGACGTAAGATCCGGTATCAATAAGAAGCTTGAGAGGGGTGCCATTTACTTGAACATCTGCCAAGAACACGTTGCGGAGACCCGGGTCGCGTGCGAGGCGATCCGTAGACTGCACCGAGACCTCGTGCTGGTCAAACGTCACACTCGGCAGGACTTCCTGATGGACAGTTCCCACATGGGTCGATCCGTCTCGTCGATAAAAACGGCTGCTCTGGTAGCGTCCGGCAAGTTGTCCACGGCACCAGGGTTGTCCTCGACCCCGCACTGGAAATGATGCTTGTCGTTCATCGTTAATGAATGCTGCTGACTGTGCTTGACGACTGCGGCAAATTAGAGCAAAATGTCTCTGCTTCCCACACAGAAAGCACGTCGCGTTCCGTGCCGGGCAGAACTCGCGGGCATGGTCGCGCCGGCCACAGAACCAGCACGCAGAGAGAGAGCCTGCATCTTCTCTCTCCCTCGCGCGGTGAGGAGGAGGCTCGCGGACTGTTGGCCGCCTTGCCCGCCCTTGGAAACGGGGAAGATGGCCGTCAGACGATGGTTGACCCCACGGCATCACGGGACCTCGCTGCGACGGGGCCATCCCGGTGGAAGGACACGGAGGGTGACCATATTGGTGATAGAGTTGGGCGGGCAACACGGAAGCTCCGCCATCTTGATTCGCACGCCACTGAGCATACGCATGAATATCTTGGACCGCTGCCGGTTCCAAACCGCGGCATCCGTCGTCAACAGGGAAAGACGACACCGCACTCGTCTGGCGATGAAACGATTCAGTCGTTTTCGCAAGTTGTTCAAATTGTATTTCGAGCTGGAACGCTCTGTCCAGGGTGGGTACCTCGGCCCCGACGCATTCACGTAAAATGGGGTCCTGAACTTTCTTCGAATCCAACCCCTCCAAAAAGATTTCACACAGGCGTTCGTTTAACGTAGCGCCGTAGCTACAGAAAGAGCCTTGATGACGTAATGCGGCAAGGTATTCGGAGACTGATTCGCCGGGACGTTGGACTCTAGCAGGGAGTTTCTTTCTTTCCAGTGTTACGGACCCCGAGAACTCAAAGAGTTTTTCTAACTTCTCCAAAAATATTTCATACTCGTCATTGAGCTCAGTCGCCGGTGCATCGTCCAAGCGGAATGCGTCAACCACACGCTGGCCTTCAGTGCCGAGCAATGAAAACAGGAGTTGTTTTTTACGACGCGGTCCCATCTGTTCGAACCCCGAAGCGCCAAGAAAAGCGGTGAAGGCACGCTTCCATGCCGGCCACGCAAGGGTGGGCGTGTCGGGGACAGGTAGAAAGACGGGTGGCGGCGGCACAATCGCCGTTCCAAAAGCGATATTTTGAGCCATGATGGTCAAATGTCAAAAGGAACCACGGAAATAGTCAAAGCACGCTGAGGGTCGAAGCCTACCGTTAGAGAAATTGCAAGATTGCAACCGACATGGGTTCACAATGCAAATCGAAGGAAAGACTGGAGATCATGCTAGGAGGGGACGGATCTAGGAAAAAAAAAAAAAAAACGTTTACCTCGTCGCCTCCTCGTATCCCATCCTCGTCGCCATTGTAATATTCTGTGGGTCCAAGAACGCCGGCTCAGGATCAAAAACAGACACGACCAGCCCCGTCCGAATCCAAGCACGATCTCCTTTATCAAGAGCTTATCGTGGGGTATCACGCGGGCACGCCAGAGCGTGCAACATGGCGGCGCCGGCTTTTGGCGCCGCTTTGTGTTCATGTACTAAAACCACTACACGCAGTTAACGTCGTCTGCTTTACGTCTGCTAGTCAAAGCGATGGCTGCTTTACCTTTCCTGTGTCTGTCGGAGATTCACCACGTTTTTTCGGGCGAGAGGCACCGTTGCCTCAAAAAACAAGGAGATGACAAGAGGAAGAGATTGACCTCTTAATCTAAAATTGAGGTCAGCGATCAAAATATAAGGCGGGAAGGGTTCACAAGGGTCGCGCGGGCATATTCCATTCAGCACGCCAGCCGGTCGTGGGCAGACGGTCGCCGAGTCGGAGTGCCTCCTAGATCTATCTGCTGTGCTCGCTTGGTCGTTGTCGGTGGAATCGTGGCCGTTGGAGCTTTTCCCGGGTGTTTGTGGATCCAGCGTTCTTGTTCCTCCTGGTCTGTTTCAAGCACTTTTTACTTTTTTCTTGCTGCTTGAAGTCGGGACGCGTGAGAAGCGCAGGTAGAAAAATAAACGTCCGTTGATCGTCGCGACCGCGACGCTGTCGGCCATGCTGATTTGATTAAGACAGCTTCGGAGCTGTCGCAGGATTTCGTCGTAACCTGCGCAAAACTTACGAAAATTTCGTTTCGTGAATACGAATTTGTTCTCAAGTTTTGTCCTACGCATATTTTTGGCATAAGATCGTTTCGTGAATCTGGCCTCCGCACTTTCGAAAGTCGCAGGAAAGGTAAGATAGACGCGCACGACGTTGCGAGCAGACGACGTTGCGAAGGAGCAGACGACGCTCAGATAGGGGGTCGCGATCAGCCAATCAGGGCACGGCGTTCTGACGTCACCGCTACCCCCTGCGCAAGGAGCAGACGAACTTGCCCTCCGCATAGGGGGGCTTGTGAAGGAAATTATGCATTCTTTACTAGGTCCCTGTGTACTGTGTAGTGAAATGATGGATTAATGTTGGCGCACTGGCAGTGATTGCCTTTTCCCCCGTGCGGTTCCTTTTTCTTTTTCTTTTTTTAAACGATAACATTTTGATGATGACTCAACGTGACAAAAATACTCGTATAAATATAAAACTTCCCGACATAATGTACTGGGCCTTCAATAATTTAGAGCATGACCCAGAACACCTGGGTCATGCTCGAATGTTTTGTCAAACAACACGTTTGGTAACAGTTCCATAAATTGTTTACACACATTGCGTGGCTTTATATGAGGTCGGGTGATTTTTTCCACCCTGCTCCTGCCTTATTGAAAAAAATAAATTCTAATAATGTTACATAGCGGGGCCTAAATAATTCTTTACATGCGCATAAAGGTTTTAGCATTACAAATGGTTTATACATACATTGTCAACTTGTACTGTGGAACATACAAACCTTGTGAGCAGAAACAATTCCTATTTATTATGACATAGTGACTGAAACGATGACACAGGATGATGACATACTGACTTACATGATGACCTAGTGACTGAAAGTCTAACAATAGTAGTGATTATAAGACATTAATCACTTTTAATCTATACTCGCACAATATGGTGTCACCCCCCCCCCCCCCCCCCGTCTTACAGGTAAAAAAAATACCTGATAAATATTTTGGCTTTAAAATGTACATAAAAGCTGAATTCACTGCATACTACCAAAGAACGCCATCTCCTACATCCTGTGTTTCTCGCCCATGCCCTTAAACTAAGACGAGCGCTGCTTTGCTGATCTCTTTATCTCTTGAGCTTGTTTGTTCCTACTCATCGTAATATGCTTACAGTGTTGTCGCATTCTCATGCTGAAGTAGTAGTGGAGCAACTGGGCGATTGTTTCTTCTTTGTGTTCAGCGCATGGAAACGTTATTGTGCTTGTGTCAAGAACACTGTCGATTGTTCCCCAGTAGACAGTCTTGTGGCTTTTATTTTGCACGAAGAACTGTTCCGCATTCTTCAGTAGCTGGAAAAGGTTCTTGTTGGGTGTGTGTAAGGCCTCCTCTGTTGTTCACGTTTGTCAGTGCTGCTTTAGTAGAAGTGTTCTTGTCGACGCTGAAAGCGAATCGGCATGCAGGGCAGCGTGTAGCTTTTTTTTTTTTTTCACGCTCAAAAACCCAGTTACATGATATAGCATGCCGCCCACAGCCTTGGTTTCATGAGCACTTTCTGTCCAGACCTCTTCGCATTCACAGTCTTCGACAGAAATTAGACTGCCAAGCTCGGTCTTCACTTGGACAACGAGATGAGGAGACTAGGTAGTAATTTGCGATCGGCCCTCGGGATTGCACGACGCCACTGCTCCAGCCAAGCGTCATTCGATGGAGCTCTAAACAAGGACACTCGCTCTGCGCAGTTCCGGTACCCCGAATTGCAGTTGGCAACGAAGCGCGTCTTTTCCATCCTTAAAGCATAACTTCTTCGGATTAATGCTCATCTCCGTGCACGATGGTGGCACCGGTGATTGACACAGCACCAAAGCAAAACATGAGGCCAGCCACTGACCGCACACCACCACCACACCGCGAAAAAGGCGAGCAAGCTACGCCCCCGACTCCGTGGCCTGCGAGGAGAGACCTCATACCCACGGTGCTCAGGCTCTGACGGTGCTCACACCTCAGCGCCCTCCGCGGCGGCACGGAACAACTGCACTTCGTTTCACCCTATGTTGTACCGCAGCGAAGGCTAGAAGCGCGAGCTCATAGCGTTGGCAGCTGCCCTTAAGTCACGAGAGCTTGTGCCGCCGGTATCAGAGTTCGGCGGTTCTTTGATCCAGCCGCCGGTCTGGCAGCACTGATCAAACAGTCTGGCAACTGTGCGCATCCGCCATGATGTGCCTTGCCGTCTAGCTTGATTGCACCTTTGCATTTAATTGCATTATAATTATAACCTTAAATTGCAAGCTTCACCCTTGTTTGGTGTAAGGCTGGTGGCGGCTGATAAAACCCGTTTGCCCTGCTGACTCGAGCCGGCAGTCGGCTCGCTAGAGTCCATGGAGCGAGAGACGACGATGAAAATGATCGTTCTGCGCTGCGCTCTGCCAGACGTATAGATGAAAAAGAAATGGGGGGCTGCAGTGCCGTTGGGTGCTCGAACAACGCGAAGAAGGGGTTCAGGATGTACCGGTTCCCGCAAGGAAAAGAAAACCGCGCAAGGCACAAGATCTGGGAAACCAAACCAAGAAGGGCTGACTGGAAGCCGAGTTCTCGATTGTGCGAGGTAAGTTTATGATTAACGTAACAAAATGCTTGATTTTTCGACTTTCTCCTTACGCCAACAAAAGCGCAAACGGCAAAACCTACACGCGTATACATCGCATGTCAATGGGGACCTACTCGCCGGGAGGCACATCATGGCGGAAGCGGCGCCCGCTGAGTCCGCTAGACCCAGCGGGCCGTAAGCCCCTCCCACCCGCCGAACTCTGGCCGGGATGTGCCCCAGAGCAAGGAGCTCGCGCTTGTAGCCTTTCCTGCGGTACATCATAAGGTGAAACAGAGTATACTCCTTGTTCAAGGATAGTTCCGAACACGATCTGGTCGCTCGCTCCCCGCGGGAAGAGCGGCCAGAGTCACCACGTAAATGTATATCTTCCACCGTGGTCTGGACTAAAGCCCTTCGATGTGTTTGCGTTTGTCTTGCAAGTGGCGTCAAATGCGCCAGTGCACGAGGCCCGTGTCTGAAGCGGCTTTTGGAAGCAGTTATTCGGCGCAGTACTGAAATAAGCGGCCCTTGGAAGCGAATGGCAGTGGAGCTTCCGCTCCTCGCACGTGTTTTGCGCGCTTCCAGAACTATGGTTGGCGGTACTTGCAAGCCTGAATTTTATCAAATGAATTTAGTCTGCACTTGCCGGCGAACTACGTGGACCACTTCGCGTCGTGGCTGGCAGCGTCCTGAAGGTCGGGTTCCGTCGGGGAGCACCGCGCAGTTAAAGTCCCCAAGGAGACGGATCAGTTACGACCGATAAAGATGAAATCGAGCTCGCCTTTTTCCGAATATTATAGTACATTATTTGCGTCCTCTCCAGTAGATGTCGAGCTTTTCAAGGATTAATTTTTGGGTTTCATGCCGCGCATAAATGATGAAACAAAATAATTACTAGAATCGCCCAACAGCGTAGAGGAAGTGGTCGTTGCAATAGAAACCCTAAACCCGGGAGAGTCGACTCTCCCGGGTACCTTAGGAGAAATTTCTTCTAAGGTACTGAGAACAGCGACGGCTGCTCACCTTTCCGCCACTGATAGCCCCTCTGGCACCCCGAAGCGAAGCAGTGGCGTTGTCGACGCCGATTCGGCATGGCACTTCAATGACCATAAACGACAGCAGACACGGGTAACACGGGTAAAGAGCGGTTCAGAATGGGGGGGCCACTTCGAGCTGCCAAAAACGCAAGCCAATTCTCCTCGCCCAGGGCCTTCGGAACGCTCGGAACACAGGCTCGGAAGCTGTCGGATTCTACAGCCACTACGTCCGCCGCGCCACCGCGTATATCCGAGACCTTTCCACACGCGCCGTTTGACAGCAATGCATGGCGCGCCTCGGCGCCTGATCTCACTACCCCTCCTCTATACCTGTTTTCACCTCAAGAACCATAGGAAAAAAAGTCCGACTTCTCGCGGATGATTACTAATTTTCATGGAGATTTAAGATATATTTATTAGCATTTTAGAGTGGATACACGCTATCTTATCAATGAGTACACGTTTCAAACGCCAAAAGCATCGCCTGTGCCTCCGACAACCAAATCTGGCGAGA